ATGTGATCAGAAAACCTTACGTAAGATGAACGTTTTACAGTCCGGAAGAGCTGTTTATACGCTTTACAGAACAGAAATCGTTTTAAGTACTATCGCACGAGGAATGGAAGGCATTAAAAAGCCCCTAAAACAGGCAAGGGTTTTATTATTCTCCCTGCAGACAAAGGAGACCCAACTGCAATGCCCAACAAAGCAGGCTACGATAAAAAGAAGCTGTCATTGCTAGAAGAAGCGGATCAATCTGTAGACCTATTACTGCAGGCCATGCGAAGGTTCAGATTTCGTCTATTGATACAATGTTAGTGTCTTAAAGGGAAGAAGCAACCGTCAGAAGATATGGCCAAATTCCCGGGTCAAAATGAACTTCACAAATCCGAAGTACTACTGCGAACGATTGTATCGTTAATTGGTGCATCCAGTTAAAAGGTTTCTAAATGCCTATTCCATAAGTTCCACCTCTTGACAAAGGATTGCGAAACTTTAGTAGAGACTTCTACAAAGTTCCTGCATAAATTATGGGGATTCGGATTTGCAGCGGATGGGATAAAGGTATCCCTCGATATCCTATCTCTCTTCACTTCCATAACAATGGGTTTTGCGAGGTAATATGCAGAAGAACGCGTTTAGTTCCTTAACATGGATGTTCCTACATCTGCTTTCCTTGAGCCGTCCTTGTATGGCTGGAAACTAGCTTCTTAATCGCACAGGCATATTACCAGCAGCTGAAGGGGGTCTCTACGAGCCCAACTGTCTCTGCATTCTTGCTAGAGTTACGAAGAAAAAACTGGTATTACGACCCCACTACTAAGCAACCCCAACTTATGGATGCGTTACATGGATGACAACTTTGGTGTCGTTAAGAGATCAACTGGAAATACTCCACAGATTTATTAACTCAACACTACCAGGAATCACATTTATGTTCTAAAAAGAAGTTGACTAAAAACTCTCTCTCTTCTAGATATTTTTGTACGCTGAATCACTGGCCAAACATTTCAAACATCAGTTTACTGTAAAAGGAAACTTATACGAAAGTTACTCTATCTTACGAGGACAATCACCATATTGTTCAAAAACGGAATGTCGCCAACAATCGAGCCAAATCACACTGCTATGACACCTGCACTGCTATATACGGTGGTCAAACCGGAAAGTCGGTTTGTATAATCGTACACGAGCATCAATTAGCAATAAAGGGTTGAGACCTCCTCTCCCACGTCCCTATGAGCACACTGGAATCTAAGCACAACTCTTCTCGGAGACAAAGCTGGCATTTTTGAAGCCCTTTTCCCCCGTCTGAATTTAAAACAGCCATCTACATCAGAATTTATTGGTGACAACAGATTTCGCGACAGTTTATTAACTGGTACCCGTCGCTGAACAACACAGATCACGAATAAGAGGCATTCAGAAAGTTGAATATGCGCAGAAAATCAATGGAAAACAGCTGATAAGCTGTCACGAAGTTTAGTGGTGCGAATACATTTTGCTCTCTACGGCTGTTTCAAAAACTCATATTGTTGGTGTCTGTCCATCTAAGAAACGCAGATAATTTTTGGAGTCCGTGGTTCCCTTTGACATCGTGTGCAATAATCTTAAGGAAAAATGAGAAAGGCGACAGCCTTGACGAGGCAGCAGCAAATTTTTCAGCCATGTTTAAAGTTTCAGTTGTTTTGCGCATTTTCTATACGTCTGACGATGACGACCTGGGAAACCAGGGTCGAAAATATAAACAATAAAGCGTGTTCACCTTCCCAGAGAGCTTATTTCCCTCAGAATACGACATGCGCCCTAATTCATGCAGCATACCTAACTTAACAAAAATTCAGTAACCAATCGGAAACCAGTTCAAATACGCTCATCAAAATTTCAAACTAATAATAAACTACCTTCAGTTAAATGAAAACACGAAATATGTACTTAGTGTACTGTTTCTTTTGTTAGAATTATCTATTTTTTTAAAGAAAATCAGAAATGTCAAAAACGTGAAAATTCGTGCCAAATGAGCAAAACTCCAGCCTTTACGCATGTAAATTCTGTCTATGCGAATAATTGAGTAAATAAAACCATATAATCACAGTGAGGTTTGGAAAAACCCTTTTACGCACCTTTTTAGTAAATATTCCAAAATAACTAGTCTTGTGTGAAGTATGACTTATAGTGAAGAGCGTGAGGCCTGATCATGCGTTTCGGAATCTCGTTTCCGCACGTCGCTGTAATTTTTCTAATTAGGTACCGCTCGAACTGCAGTTGATTAAAGCAATTAGGATCTCACTTGATTACCCCATTAAAGACGCCACGGGAATAAAAGTTATCATAAGGTCACGCGCTGACAGGCCAGCCAGTGACTAATTAATATGGATAGGATTGGCACATGCAACCATAACCATACCATCTTGTGCGTATCTTGGGGACCTTTCTTCCGGTAAGTTACCGGGTGGTTTTGGTAACAATGGGATCCACTGAGTTTTAGAATGTCCTTGAAATGCCACCGAGTACATTCCGGCTTTCAGTGTTGCCTGTCGGCTTCCCAGCAAGATAGGTTCTGTGCCATGTGTTTATCAAAACGTTCAAAATCATATGGCTCTCGAAGGCCTTTACCCAAATTGTGAGTTTCTTCTTATGCAATTTGGCCGCGGGGGGGCAACATTTAACGACGCACTCTCTTTGCCCAGAAAATGAACGTCTGCTATGAAAATCGGTGACGAATAAGCTCTTGGCCGGTGAAAAAAGATGTCTAACAAGTCGCCTCTTTAAAAAGCTCTTTAATAAGTTAGTTCGCCGTCGGATGGCCAGCTAACTTACTTCTGTTCAAGAAGAGGTCAGGAAGAAGTTAAACCGTTTGACTGGCTTTTATATTTCCCTGAAAAACACGATTAATACTCCTCCTACAGACGAATAAAATTACTTATCTCTTTATAGTAGAATCATTCTCGCTGTTTTTGCCCATATATTGCCTCCAGAAGGCAAATAAACACTAATGTATTGCTCAAACTGCTAAATTACGCATTAGTGGAACTTATGTCATGCAAAAAGTATCCTACTGTATGATAGAAAGTTAAAATGACCATTTGGCGATAGATATAACCGAGAGTTCGACTGTCAGTTCCAACGATGTCCAGCGTGTGCTACCCACTAATGTGCAACAGGCACGATGACTTGCATGTAAATTGGTTTCTAGAGATAGTAGACTTGCGAAGCGTCTACCACACTCTCTCTCTCCCCACTCCCCACCTGGAGCCGGTGTCATTACAGAGTCAAGAATACCGGAGGCGGGGGAGGGCACAAGTGGCTGGCACGGCCGGTCCCGCGCCTAGGCGTCCCACCACACTCCCTGGTCCACAACATACACTTGACCAGGATTTTTCACCAGTAACAACAACAACAACACCCAAACAGGGATCAGAAGGGTGAGGATAACTGGGCAGCTATGCCCACCACCTGCATACCCAGCGGGAGCGCAAGCGCATCTATTCTGAGGGAACTGCCAGCGCATACCAGGCTGCGGTGAGATTCTGGTGAGGGAGGACGTGATGGTAGGAGCAGCGACGGTTGTCTACCGCAGGTTAACGTGGGCGCGCATGTGGCCTAATAGACCCATGCAGTGAATAAATGTGCGAGTGCAATTTGGACAGTGAAGGCGGATGCGGCGAGCGTAGGTTGGTGCTCCAGGCACTGGTTCACCAGTCTGTGTACGATGGATTCGCAAGTGACCGACCAGGCTGATGCGAGAGGTGAATATGCGTGGACAGTGTGGGCATGAGTGGTCGACGGTGTCAGTGTGAGACGGTGGGGCTGGTGGTGAGTGCGATGGGCGACTGTGTGTGGATTGGTCTGAGCATGGTGGGTGTGCAAGATGCACTGAGTGTGATGGAGTTGGTGGTGGTGAGCGCGATGGGTGTCGGAGTGTCGGCAGGGCTAGGCATGGCGGATGTGCTTGATGCGCTAGGTGTGTCGGGACTGCGGTCAATTTCGCTCTCATGGATACGCATGTGGCCAAATAGGCCCATGTAGTGCATGAATATGCGAGGGCAGTGTGAATAGTGGAGGCGAATGCGGCGGGTGTAGGTTGGTGCTCCAGGAACTGGTCCTTCAGTCGTTGTGGATGGATTCGCAAACGACCGACTAGGCTGATGTGTGAGGGGAAGGTGTGATCCCAATGAAGCCAGGTTGCGATCGGGTCCACATTGTTAATGATGGATGCGGTGGCAGTATGCGTAGTTGTTGACGGGACGTCCGGAGTGCTGTCGCCCGTGGTGGTTGTTGGTGAGGCGATGATCGCCGTCGCGGGTGTTTCGGTGAGAGTGATAAAGGTGGTGGGGGTCGCCAGCGTCGGTTGTGGCGTCAGAACACCAAGAGCGCGATCACCGTTGGTGGTCGCCATCGCGAGTCTTAATCCAGGTGTGACGATTGAGGTGTTCGCTGAGGCATAGGATGCAATTGTGCGGCTGTTGCTGCATCGGCCCCGAATTTGTCCGACTAGGGCGATTCGCCACCAGAATATCCGTTGGTGGCGTGGGTATGTTGGAAGGGGTTGGGTGTTGGGGTCGTGAGTCGAAGGCGCCTGAGACTCTCGATCCGGTCTTTTGGCTTTGGCACCGGCGATATGGCTGGCCTTTACTACAGTTGGCAGACCGAAAATACCACGCCGGTGGTTTTACGGTGCCGTCGGAAGCCACAGTGGCTTTCCGGGGGAAGGCTATGTTCTAGATGGTCGTTGAGACGATTGAGGAGGTTGAGAACGAGGATCTTTTCTGGAATGTTGAGCAGCGAGATTCGTCTATAATTGTCGCAGTGTTGTCGGCTCCTTTTCCGCTTGTAGAGATGGACAATGGTCGCGTCCTTAAAATCCTGAGGAACTTGTCCTTGGCGGCATATCTCCTGGAATACTGTTGTATGTGTGTCAATCAGTCGGGCATCGCCGTGCTTAAGGACTTCAACCAGGACCGTATGGAATGCCGGTGCTTTCGCGCTGGATAGCTAGTACACTGCTTCGACTGAATCTGGGAGCGAATGTGGGAGGCCTAGGCCGTTGTTGGTTTCCACTAGGGGGAGCTGGTCGATGACGGCTTCGGCAATTGCTAATGGGCTTTTGAGGATGGTTCGGGATGTCTGGACCCAGCGCTTTAACATTTGAGCATTATTCATGAGGAATGTTGCTGTGTAGGATTTGAGAAGCGGAGCAGTTCCTTTGATTGTGGGTCCGTAGATCGCCTTGACTAATGCAAATAAATTCTTTGTTTCATTGCTGTCTGTATACCCCCGGACATGCTCGATTTTGTGTCCCATCCAGACGTCCCGCACAAGGCGGTGACATCTGAAGAAGTCGGTTTTGTGCATGCTTTGCGCAGTCTATTATTCGTCGCGAGCAGACAAGAACATGGTCAAGTAGCCGGCAGTGCCGCGATCTATGGTGCATCCGGGCTTCCTTCTCGAACACCGGAAGGCTGAGGAGGGTGGTGTTAAGTGGAGGACGGTGGTCCGCGCAGATTCACAGAAGAAGGAGTCGTTGTTGTTGTAGCCACCGATTCCACGGGCACCCAGCGCTCCTTTCTAGCCGTTGTCTGTTCCGACGCGGGCATTCAAGCCACCAGGGTCGGCAAGCTTTCCCGTCTTCGGGACAGACCTCAGGAAGGCGTGCAGGTCCTCGTAGAATTTGCTCTTAACCTCATCCGACTTGGTCATTGAGAGGGAAGACGTAGGTGCCGACTACGGTGGCTGATTTGGCCCGCTGGGGAAGGGGGGGGGGCAGGCATAGGGTAATAAGGCGGTCGTTATTGCCTTGCGGCAGACAGGGCAGGTGTCCCACGATGTCGTTTGGGGCGTTTGCAACATGAGCGTCGCTCTGCCCTCTGGCTGCCACTCCAGAAGAAGGTGTAGTCGGCACTCACCTCCTCCAGTTGGCCTTGTTCGGAGAATTGGGTCTCCCTAAGTGCGGCGATGCCCACCTTTTTGTGCGCCAGTTCTCGAGCGGCTTACACCGTGTTCCCTTCCAGTCAGTTGTTTCACGGATTGCCTAAAAGAGAATGAACATTCCAGATCGCCAGGATTAACTGAGTTACTAGTGCAGCCTTTGGGATGAGGTATGGGGCGGAAAGTGGGCTGTTGTTTCTTTGATTGTTTCGACATTGAGTTGTAGATCTGCGAGCCACTGTCTGCGTGCAGATGGCGTGATCCCAACATTTTTCAGGGCACCTTCCTAGCCCCTTTCCTCTGGGGGAAATAAACTGTGCTCTCCCCAAATAGGACTGCTTCGACGCATAGACGAATACCAGACTCCACGATGGGTCATGGGTTGGTTTAATGGGAGAGGTACCCGAGTTGGCTTGGGCTGTCCACGGGACTGCATGTCGTCCTCTCTGTGGAACCTCTTTAAAGTGGGGAGGGAGGAGGAGGAGTGATGAGAAGAAGAGCAGAGTTTCCAGTTTTGGGACACAAACAACACCGGATACCGTCATCTGGTTTAGCCTGCTGATCGGGGCGGTTGCCAGGATGTGGCCGCTAGACGGAACCTAGCTTCGGAGAGCTTGGTGCTAGGCAAGGACCGTGCATAGCACTCACCAAGTGAATACTGCGACTTGTCACACCCACATGTTTTGCCCCTAAATAGTCAGCCGCACATCCCCACCCACACACACATGGCAGCTAGGCCGTCATTTCCGATGATGCCCGCTGTCTACACCATACCAGGTTCGGCGGAGGGACGGTGACGCGCGCCTGAGTTAATTTATAATGATAGTAGACTTGCGCCACGCCTACTGCACTGTTACTTGCCCCACCCGCCTGGGTCCGGTGTCATGACGAATCCAAGAAGATCGGAATCAGGATATAGTACAGTTGACTGGCATGTTGTGAACCCGTACTTAGGCGTACCATCGCACGTCCTGGTCTACACACAATCGAGCAGGATTTCACACAAGAAGGGAGAGCGGCTCAGATCCCGACTGCCTGAGAGTGCCATAGAGGCCACATTAAGAAGGAGCCATTGCAGCCTGACTCTCAGTCCACCACTCGGCCGTTTCGCACAAACACACACTGGGCTGACCGTGAGGTCCGCATTAAATCGCCATTGGCAACCTTCCGGGCCACCGCTTTTAGCGCGCCGTGATGCTTGTAGCTACATCAGAGTGTTTATAGTGAGGAGAATGCGCTGAAGGTCGTCCTCACCCTCTTCGCTCCGTTTACCAGGAGATTGTCTGAACAGTCCAACCAAGTGGGACTCAGATTGGGAGAGGTGGCCAACAGAGTCGAAAACACTCCATCTGCTCGTGTCACGCACACGACCTGACCACAGGATTTCACACAAACGGGACGGGGCACATGCACAAACACACACGACAGTTCGACCGTCGATTTCGACGATGTCCACCATGTGCCCCACAGACGGCATTGTGGGAGCAGGGACGGTGACTTGCGCAGGGGTTTATAGTGCCGGTAGACTTGCGTAGCATCTACCTACACTCTCTCCTTCTCCCCCGCCTCAGCCCTGTGTCAAGACCAAGTCAGGAAGACCGGAGACTGGGAAAGACGCAGGTGGATGGCTCGGACGGATCCTCGCCTTGACGCTCCACTCCGCACCCCCTGGTCCACACACAAATGACCAGGATTACAACCAACACAACAGTGATTTGGAGGCTGGCACGGCCGAAGCCGCACCTAGGCGTGTCGCCAACACCTGGCTCGGATCCCACGCTGGGGTGGGAGTGCCATAAAGGCCACATTAAAAAGGAGCCATTGCAGCCTGACTCTCAGACCGCCTCCGGTCAAGGAGGAGGTCCAAGATACCCCGTCAGTTGGCAACCTTCCAAGCCACGGCTTTTAGCGCACCGTGATAGCTTCAAGCGCGTCAGATTGTTTATAGTGAGGAAAATGCGCTGAGTCGTCGACCTCACTCTCCCTTCCCACTCCCACACCCCAGCCGCTGTCCGAGCCGGTCAGCAGACTGGAGTGGGAAATGGGCGCGGTGGCTGACACGGTCGACTGACCATGCCTGCGCGCGCCACAGCACGACCTGGCCCCCCATACACACAAACACCAGGATTTAACACAACGGGGGATGAACGGCGTGTCTCTCACTTGCGTGAGAGAGCCGTGGAAGGTGCTGCTTCAGCCCGTCCCCAGCCTACCAGTCCGCCACTACACAACACACACACACAACGCGACGAACTGCGTGGACCGAGTGTGGGCGTCAATCAGCAGCCTTCCTATCCACGACACTTGACGTGTCGGGATAGCCTCGGACTCAAGTCACCCGTGCAGCCGAAGCCCAGTCGAGAGTATACTTCCCACTTGCGTGGAAGGTGGCAGTTGGTGCATGCGGTGGGTGAGTGTTGATGCGTGGTGGTGATGGTGGAGGAGGGAAGGTGTGTGGATGTGTGGTGTGGCCGGCAGTTGTCTACCGCAGGTCGTTGTGAATGCGCATGTGACCGAATAGGCCCATACGATGCCTGAAGATGCGAGAACAGTGTGGGCAGTGGAGAAGAGCTTGGTGGGTGTAGGCTGGTGCTCCAGGCACTGGTTCGCCAGTCTCTGTGCGATGGATTCGCAAGTGACCGACCAGGCCGATGCGTGAAGTGAAGGTGCGATCGCAGTGAGGGCAGATGTAGTCCTGGCCCTCACGTCTGATGATGGAGGTTGCAGGGGTTGTGCCTGTTGTTGTGTCAGGTTTGGCTGTGGTGAAGTCGTGGGCGACAGACGTCGAAGCGGCCGTCGTTGTGGCAGTGAAGGAGGAAGACGAGAAGGAAGGGGAGGAGTGAGGGGTGGTTAGGTCGGTGGCGTCGATGTCGGCTGGGGAGTGGTTAGTGGGTGCACAAGGTGATGGATTGGGAGTGGGGCTCGGCGGGGTGGGCGTGTCAAGGCTGCGGTCAATTCCGCTCTCGTGGATGCGCATGTGGCGGAAAAGACCCATGTGGTGAGTGAAGGTGCGAGGGCAGTGTGGGCAGTGGAGGCGAGTGCGGTGGGTGTAGGTTGGTGCTCCAGGCACTGGTTCACCAGTCTCTGTGCGATGGATTCGCAAGTGACCGACCAGGCCGATGCGAGAGGTGAAGGTGCGGTCGCAGTGAGGGCAGGTGTAGTCCTGATCCTCATCACTGGAATCGGGAGAGGTGGGGGTAGTGTCGGTTGTTGTGTTGGGGTTGGTGATGTGTGAGAGGGCAGCCTGAACGGCCGCCGCTGGGGCAGTGGAGGAGAAGGAGGAGGATGGAAGTGGTGGTGCAGAAGGAGTGTCAGAGTTAGTTGGCGGCAGAGAGGACGAGGAAGAGGCGGGCGGGGAGACGATGGCTGGAGCAGTTCCAGAGGTGCAGTTGATCCGAAGATGTCCAACACGTCCGATTCGTGCCCGGAATGTCCGTTGACACCGAGGACACGTAGGGAGCGGTTGTGCGG